ATGAGGGGAGGGCATTTTTAGTTTAATTTTTTAATTTTATTATATTATTTTAATATTATTATTATATTATTATATTATTATTATTTTAATATTGTTGCCTGGTCAGAGAGGGGGGACAAAATTTATTTTTTTAAATAATGCAAATATTAAAATAATAATAATATAATAATAAAATAATATTAAATAATATTAAAATAATATAATATTAAAATAATAATATTATTAATTATTATTAATAATTATTATTATTATTTTAATATTTGCAATATTTTTTTTTAAAATGTTTTTTAAAGAAAGCTCAACTACCGGTAATTACTTTGTTTTATCGGTTCCCTCTGTTAAAATATATTTCGTGAAATATTTTGCATTGCATATGTAAATATGGATTGATATTATGTGGATTTTTGTTTTCTTCAACCAATATAGAATTGGCAGTTCCAAGTTGGATTGCAGAGGAATGTACGTTTGCATGTTTTGTGAAATTGGAATCTATAGCAACCATCTTTTCTTGTAGAGTTCAGTGAATTTTATTGTCTTTGACTCGGCACACATGAAAGAGGGTGGCCGACTTCTTTGTTCTTTCACAAGAAAAGTGTTCGGAGATGACAACATTCCCAAAACTAGACAAGCCACGTGTTTCGTAACCGTAATTTATAAAAGTATAAAAAAAATACACTTCAAAATACAAACCTGTAAAACTATACTAAGAAACAACGAAGCTGCGTTTGTGGTTATTAGATATTTTATCCTGAATATAATGTCAAAGCTATAATGGTATGAGCCTCAATAGCAACATTTCTGTTGGAAAATCTGTGATCCACAAATGTAAATTGCTCAGTTAAATCCAGACCCTGTTTGTGGCACTTGTCCAGCTATAGAAAGAGGAAGAAGCAATTGCTCGGTCCAACCCCACATGGGCATGACTCCAAACAAGAGTGTCTACAAAGTGAAAACCCAAATAAACCCTAATCTAGATGTAAATGTTATGAGAAACACGCGTCACACTGGGATATGGGAAACAGATGATTAGAATATCAGAGAATAGCATTATGTGCTGCTTTCTATAGAAATATATAGCCTTCAGACATGTCTAGCTGCTGTGTAATCTACCCCCTACTCCCTACTTTGGAATTATTTTACCAATGGCATGGTCAAGCATTAATGGTCCCTAAGAAGATACAATGACAGATTACACCAAGACGAACACCATGCATATGCAAGAATTGTACCTGGCACCTGGTCATGGTTGAATGAAGTCTAGATTTCTCAGCATGGATTTTAGAAGCATAAAAAAAAACTCAAGACAGACATTCTGTTCAAAAAAGTTAAAAAAAAAATACTTCCTTCTTCATAATTTCCTGATTAGGGTTTAACACATTTCTCTAGAAAATAGGAGCTTTGACTGAAGGTGTGAAACCAAAGTTTGTCCTAACACTTTAAGAATTACTCAGAGGGTCACAACCTCTCAGCACCATGAGTCCTGCTGACATGTGGGAAATCTAATGGGTCTCAGAAGCTCTCTTTGCTATCTCACCATGCGGAAACAACCCACTTACTTTGAGCATTGCTGAATCCCATTGGCAAAGTAATCAATATTTGATACCAGGTCTCAGTTAAGTGCTGCTTAACAGAACATTTTTTCTCGTATGGCCTCTCCATACACCTTCCATATGACAAGCTCTCAGTTTACAGTGGTTATCACTTTTCAATCCTCCCAGGTGGAGGGAGCATCCCACAGCTGCCACCACATGTGATGGAGCTCCTGTACTCAGACTGAGTACCTCCTGACTATAATCACCATAGTTACCTTTCCAGCGCATGCCTTACAGCTCATTGCGCCTTTCCCGGGGTCTTGGAGTCACAACAAGCATGGAGACTACAGAGGTATGGCACGCCTGACCAAGAGCAACCCACAAACTATGGAACTCTTGGTCGGATCACGGATTTGCCATGGTCCTGTAAAACTTTGTGGAAAGTGCTCTTGGTCCCACTTTCTGGAGGGGAGATCAGGGAGGAAGAGAGGCATTGAAAGACACCTTGGACTTGAGGGAACTCCCTTCCCCAGACCCGCTAGAGGCTGGAGAAGGTGACCGGAAATTACAAACAAACAGTCTTGAACTCTGGATTGGAGAATAGCTGCAACCCTGTCAAATTTAAACATGCTATAACTCAGGGGGCAGATTCTCTGATCAGAGCGCTATGTGGCCATCATGGGTGCTTGGAGCAGAGCTTTCCTTGGATCCCCAAGAACCCGGGAAAAGCAACCGTACGCCTGGAACTCTGAGGCGGATGGGAGAGTAGCCATGACCTGATAAAACTTTATCAGCTCACAAATTAGGTGCAGATTCTCTGTTCACTGCGCTTTTTGGACAATATGGGCACTCAGTCATGGGCTTTCGAATGAGGTATTACATGTGAAGATATGTTATGTAATTGTTGAGTTATTGTATAAAATGTAAAACAGAGTGAAGGTTATTATGCTACTGTATAACAATTATTGTGCAACGCTTTTTGGTGTCAGGCAGGTAATTCAATTATGGTGTCTTAACCTGATTATTTCACAGACACCTGGGAATGACTTTTTTTGTTTTGTTTGATGACCCCCTGTTGTGATTACTCCGATATATATGTGTGCTGTGGTCAGGGCCGGATTAAGAGCACAGTGGGCCTGGTGCTGACAATTATGATGGACCTAATTATGGAATCTTATCGACCAAAAACACTAAAACAGTCATACCTCCCAAGCGTAATTTATCTGATGGAGACAGTGCTGGAGGGAAACTCAAAGGATGCAGCTATAAGAAAACACATACCCTATGCTAATCTCTCTCTAATTTATGCTTTCATCTTTCAAGTAAATCCATAACCCCTAACAGCAGTGTCCAGTGAAGCAGGAAGTCAATGGGCAGGGTAAAAGGGTGGGCCACTGGTGCCAATCACGTGACCAGACCTACCAAAAGGGGTGAACATGCCCAAAAAGGGGGCATGTTTGTTCAAAGTATTTGAAGGACAGCCTGGCATGAATGTATGTCAGCCTGCCTGTCAATCATGCAGGCTGTCCAACTAAGGCATACTAAGCAGACAGCACCCTGAGTTTGACATAAATAAGTCTAATGATGCGCTCACTCCATGCTTTCTAAGGACTGTCCCCTAGCACTCACATGTCCACTTGTCTCCTTACTTTCTTACTAGCAGGCAGAAGCTCCTGGTATATAGTCTGAGACAGAGAAAAGGTGTATGTAGTGAGTGTAGAAGAAAGGGGACATGCCACAGTGTTAGAGAGACCAACGTCTGCATTACCAAAACTAATTTTATTGTCAGCCAGTCCACACAAGTTTTGTTCCCATACATCCCTCATAAGCTTCCAAACTTAAAAGGACACTATAGTCACCAGAACAACTACAGCTTATTGTATATGTTCTGGTAAGTAGAATCATTCCCTCCAGGCTTTTTGCAGTAAACACTGTCTTTTCAGAGAATATAACTCTGATGGCCAGAGGTGCTTCCTGGGGCAGTACTGCCTAGTGTGCAGCACTGCCATTCAGTGTCTCCACCCTCTGCATGCAGACACTGAACTTTCCTCATAGAGATGCATTGATTCAATTTATCTTTATAAGGAGATGCTGATTGGCCAGGGCTATGTTTGACTTGTGCTGGCTCTGCCCCTAATCTGCCTAGTTGACAGTCTCAGCCAATCCTATGAGGAAGTATTGTAATTTGCTCAGACCACCACTTCTGATGATGTCAGCAGACAGCCAGTTCAGAGGCAGAGCCAACAGCTGTAGACTTGAATACAAGTAATATTTTACTGTATTTAGAGATGCAAGAGGGAGCCAAAGGGGCTAGATGGTGGTTTTAACATAATAGCGTCAGAAATACATTGTTGTGTTTCTGATCCTATAGTGCTCCTTTAAGCAAGAGTATGTGAAGAGTAATTAGGGTTGCCACCTTTCTTGGAAAAAAAATATCAGCCTTAATCATTTGTATAATTAATTAGTTATGCGTGACATCACATGATGTAAATCACAAGGAGGGACATAAGAAAAAAATCTGTAAACGTGGGGACACTGAAACATTTGAGGACAGTAAGACACTAGGGACACTGAGAGACATGGGAACACAGACACTGGGAGACTAGGGGACACTGGGAGACATGGGGACATTGAGAGACATGGGGACATTGAGAGACATGGGGACACTGGCTGGGAGACAGACACTTTGGGACACTGGGAGACATGGGGACAGTTGTGGACATAGAAGGGACACTGGGACATTTAGGGACACTGGGAGACATGGGGACACTAGGCACGCTAGGAGATATGGAGACACAGACACTGGGAGACTTGGGGACACTGAGACACTAGGGACACTGGCTGGGGGACATGGGGACACTGGAAGACATGGGACATAGTGTCTCTGTGTCCTAATGTCTCAGTGTCTCCCAATGTCCCTATGTCTCACAGCATCCCCATGTCTCCCAGTGTCCCCTAATGTCTCAGTGTCCCCAGGTCTCCCAGTGTCCCCTAGTGTCTGTGTCCATTAAAAACTTGTCCTGTAAGAAGCACCAAGTATTAAGATTGTTAAGTGATAGCAATAAATATATACCAGCTGTTGAGAAGGCAATAAAAGGTGTAAATGTGTAAATCAACCCAGCCATCAGAGTGTTTTTTATTTTTCTATGGCTGGAAAACATAAAAAAAAGGAATGTAGGTAGAGGAAGATAGAGAGAGAAATAAAGTTAGGGGAGTTAGGGTGGGGTGGGGGGACGTTGGTCCAGTGGATACACATCGAGTTGTGTGATGGAGGGTAGTGTGAGCTGTTGGGAGGAGCTGTGAGATAGATATGTAGACACTTGTAGACATTTCGTCGAATTTTTTTTTAGGAAATAGGGGGAGGGAAAGGGCACCGACCCCCAGATAGGGCAGGAGATTAGGATATCTATAGTGTATGGGTCGACCCATCCCAGACCCCACCCCAATAACCCCCATGTTGGTAGTGAGCTACGGGTCACATATCTTATGTAAGGCGGTAGTCGTGCCTCTGACTTGTGCAGTCAATTTGTCCATTACTGTCTCGATCAAAGGTAGGTCATCTTTTAGCCAGAACTGTGCCACAGCTCGTCTGGCGGCTAAAGTCAATTTATGTAGAAGTTTCTGTTCAGGTTTGGGCCGTCCAAGGATCTGGTTAGCAGGAAGACCCAGGTTCCAGGTCATTTTTTCTTGCAAACTGTGTAAGAAATGTTTTCAAAACTATCTGCTGACCCAAGCACACTAGGCAATTAAGTGGTGAAGCAATCTGGCCCAATCCCCATTAAAATTAAATAAAAGGATGATTTCTTTTTTTTTAAGGGACATTTGATCCTCATGGATTGTGAAATAGCAATTCTACACAAGTAAGATTTTAATCGAATTTGGAAATAACATCAGGTGATTATTCATCATCTTTTTTCACCCTTTTTCTTCCAGTCAACAAACTAATAAATTTATTGATGTTGCAACAGTGTTACTGTATAAAACCTCAGGGAACGTGTACAGTAGTATGAGTTGTCAATGTGGTAATTTTCAGGTTCTTTTCAGCTACACATCTTTTAATGCTCAGCAACCCACAGACTGGCAAATCATCCCTATGCAATAATAGCTGCCCCAGGTCAAGAAAGCTTACAGAGAATTCTGAGGGTATTGTAAAGCCAACAGTGGGAGTATCAGTACTGCAGTAGAAGCTACAGACAAATAGGCAATCGATGATTGCTAAACTGGTCATCACACCCATATACAGAAATTTTTCAATTTTTGCAGCATTTTTGAGAATGTACATTTTATATTAATTTTGTCCCACCTACTGTATATTTGTATGTGTCAACTTTTTTTTAGATGCTTCTATGTTAATAGTTCAGACCCTGCGTGAAATGTTGCACAATGTGAGATACAACCCATCAAATTGCTTTCATTCTTAGAATTAGTTTAGAATTATGTTCTTTACCTCGTAAGCCAATTATGTGATTCAATGCTCAGATTTAGAGTGGACACTCAATGCAATCCTACACAGTGTAACATTTCACATTGCTATAGAACCTGCGTAATGTGTTAATCTGTAAGGCTTAGCCCCACTTAATAAATACAGTCCATGCATTTTATCATGGAGAAACAGCCAAAAGTCAGAATGGTTAAATTGCACGTACTTTGCATTGAATTAATCTAACTTATAGGCAACCTATCCCACTCTGTAGTAGTCTACAGTAAATCTCAACAATCATTCAATCTTTGTCTTTGTGTAAAAATTCAGATACCAAACATTACTTACGATTGATTGATTACGCATGTATAAACACCTTGACATATATTTAGTTTCTTTCCGCATCTTGAACAAGAAATATTTAGTTTTCTGTAGATTTGCCTGGAAGTTTTGTTTCACAAACATGGTAAGAAAATAAACTAGAATACTTGATGACTGATGAAACCCATGACTCCACTGTCCCTGTGCTTATTTAGAACGGTATAACATTCTTAATATTAAAACAATTCACAAGTCAACATCAGGGTGGGAAGGTCAATCATGTTTCTCCAGAAAAAGGATCTGCTACAAGAACAATTTCAGTTCCATGCCCAAATCCAGGATCTTCGTGCCAGTCCTCCATCTTGTCCTATGTCTGTTGCCCCTACTTGAACTGACTGTGCCATTGCCAGAATGTTTATACAGAGAATTTATGATGGACTGTCAACTAATGTTCACTGTGGAAACCTCACACTTATCACAGTGATTATGTTTAAGTCAGAACCAAGTTTTTTCTGTTGGCTGATGAACCACGTACATGGGCACATCATCTGCTCCGTATACAGAATCCAGTTCTTAATGCTTGGAAGTCTTTTTCTGCTGTACTGGATGCCGTATATGATGACCCCCCACTGCCTTGTCTCAGCCCAAGCAGTCATTAGACCCCTCAAACAAGGGAAAAGAATGTGGAAGCATATGCCACTGAATTCAAAAGCTTTGCTATTGAAACCTGCTGGAACGAAATAACCCGAGTGGATCAATTCAGACTTAGACTAAATAAATCCTTGCATTATACATTTTCAAGAGTGGGTATCCCCACCTCTCTTGAGGCCCTTATATAGCTAACCATACAGTTGGATTGATGCGAGGGAACACATACAAAAATGCACTTCCTCCATAAATTTGGTTTGAAGCTGTCCTCTTCTTCCCTCCTGTCAGCCCCTCTCCCCATGCTGCGCCCGGGCGGGCAAAGCTGCAGCCGCCCGAGACTCTCTGCAGAGCGCTCGGGCGGCTGCAGCAGGAGGGGGGCCGGCGCCCCCTCCCAAGGCACCCCCCACCCTGCTGGCACCCGGGGCGGCCCGACCCCCCCCCCTAGTACGCCACTGGTTAGGATTGCCACAGTAGGGGCACAACTTGTTGTTTTTTCTTCATTAGGATGAAGATATCCTCTTACAAGGCCAATCTGCACGGGATCATCAGCTGGAACCAAAGGAGGATAGAGTAGAAGAGGACAGCTTCAAACCAAATTTATGGAGGAAGTGCATTTTTGTATGTGTTCCCTAGCATCAATCCAACTGTATGGTTAGCTATATAAGGGCCTCAAGAGAGGTGGGGATACCCACTCTTGAAAATGTATAATGCAAGGATTTATTTAGTCTAAGTCTGATATGTGTGTAAGGAATGCATTGTGTGAATCTGTGTTTGTATGTGTAAGGGCTGCAAGGTGTATTTCTGTGTATGTACGAGATGCATTGAGTGTGTGTAAGGGGTGCCTTGAGTGAGTGTAATGAATGCATTGTGTGTAACGGTTGCATTGCTTGTGTATGTGTGTCTGTGTGTGTAATGCAGTGTGTGTAATGCATTGTGTGTTTTTCTGTGTGATGAATGTCAATCTCTCCCCCCCTCCAATTTCCTTCTCTCTCCCCCCTCCCAATTTTTCTTTATCCCCCTCTCCCAATCATTCTTTATCCCCCCCTCCAATTTCCTTCTCCCCCTCCCAATTTCTTTCTTTATCCCCCCTCGCCAATTTCCTTCCCCCCTCCCAATCTCTCCTTATCCCCCCACAATCTCTCCTTATTACCCCCATCTATCCTTATTCCACCCCCCATCTCTCCTTATTACCCCCATCTCTATTCCCCATCTCTCTTATTCCACCCCCCATCTCCTTATTCCCCATCTCTCCTTATTCCACCCCATCTCTCCTTATTCCACCCCCATCTCTCCTTATACCCCATTCTCAACCCCATCTCCTTATTCCACCCCCATCTCTCTATTCCATTCCACCCCACACCTCTCCTTCCACCCACCCCCAACACCTCTCCTTATTCCACCACCCCCAACACCTCTCCTCCCCACACACCTCTCCTTATTCCACCACCCCCCACACCTCTCTCCTTATTCCAACCCTCCCCCTACTGTTATGCGGGTACTCAGGGGCTTTTTTTCTGTACCCGGCCGGACTAACAGGAAGTGCACTCTGTGTGCACTTCCTGTTAGTCCGGCCGGGTACAGGAGACAGATGCTCCCTGTACCCGCGGACCAATAGAGGGCTCGGCCACGCTACAGTGAGGGAGTGACAAGAGGGAGCGCTGAGGAAGAAGATTCCTAACGATATATATCCTCCTTGTCAGAGGCAGACAGCCTTGCACACCACTCATTGATAACTGACATGCAGGGAGGGAGTATGCATTATCTTCTTTGGAGAAATGCATCTGGGAGACTGGCAGAGCCTGGTCATCTATGCGGCTTCATTGCAGCTTGATCTCTTTACAGGGGATTTGCTCTTGGGGTGGCAGAGATATGTAGCTGTACCTTTCCAGTGTCATTTGGAGTGTTTAGTAGTATCATGTACAGATGCCTCTGAGTCCACGGAGTCTGCAGCATTATGCTGATTAACAGCGGCCATATTGTGGCAATCGCGCTCTGTCGGAAATTGCATTAACACTCAGAATGAGGCTTCATCCAAAAAGCGGACATTGCAACGTTAATCAATACTTGGAAGTCCTAAGTGTTGACTGAAGATTTGTTCATAATTGCGGTTCTTGGAGAATTTCCAGACCTATACCAACAAATGTGCGCATGGAGTGCTCTATCAATGCATGGGGTACAGTGGTGTATCCAAATCTGGACCATAAACCTGGGGCTCACCCAGCTATTAGGGTCATGCAGAAGACCCAAAGGTAACAGTAATGTAATATCTCGGACTCACTAAGCTGGACCCTTTAAAGTTCAGCCCTCAAGGCTCTTGCCATAGGAGGGAATGTGGGGCACTATAGGACATGTCAACAAATGCAGAATTTGGAATGAACAGAGCCACGTCCCACAGAATTGATGAAATAAGCCTTTGGTTGATTAGTAGGTTAGAGGTTAGTATAGATGGGGCTCACCCCTAATATATGCTTTGAGGGGGCACATCCCTTGTTATACTGTAATACAGAGCAAATGGCAACTATCTAAGGGTACTTTGAAGCCAAGAAGTAGTTTGGCTTGAGGGAGCTCACCCCTGAGTATGTATATCAATGACAGGCAAAGAGGGGACTTACCCCAGTTTCAGCAGGGGATTACTCCTAACCTCTACACAATCGTTGACATTCCCATGAGATATAATAAACATCAAGATATAAACAAGTCATATACCATTTAAGTGAGTGACACCAGGACAGAAACCAGCAAGCACTTTTAGAATGCGTATACATGTGTAAGGCAGGCAGAAGAACGGTCCTGGGAACGTGCCACTAATGTCCACTGCCCTGGTAATGCTCAAACATTCCTTTATAACCATCCTGATTTGCCACTCCCCTACACATCCAGAGGATGTGTCTTCGAAGGGGGGTGGTTGTGTCACAACTTATCTGGGTTACCTCGCTGCCCCATCGGCATCTCTGAAGAGTGCCTGCCCGGATGCATGTTCGTGTGATCACAAGCGGCAGGCCCCAATCTCTGACCCGACTCCCGTCATGTCTCCCGGACAACACAAGATGCCAGGGAGACATGTATGCTAGAGGCAAGCCATGGGATACTGACCACATAAAAATGGTTAAAAAGCACACACAATGATTATGATTGTCTCCTGTAGTTTAAAAACCTATACGACATAAAAAAGAAATATCATAATGCAGTGTGTACGTATAAAAATAGATGGGGGTGGGGGTCACAAGGGGTCATAGGCTCACAATCTTTAGACCCTATAAGTTGGCTCTAAACTGTGAAGGCGTCAAACAAT